ATCCTGTGATGGCAAAGCTGAATTTTCAGCAGTCATTATTACAGTCTTCAGTATCACATGATCTTTCAGAAATCATTCTAATATGCTGGTTTGGTGCTAAAGAACCTTTCTTTTTATTGTTAATGTTAAACACAGTTGTGCTGCTTAATATTTCTTCTGGAAACTGTTTTTTTTTTTTCACCTAGGATTCTTATTATACATTTTTAAGGCCAGACAAGTAGTTTGTTGAGGGTTGGTTAGTAGAGAAGGACTACAGGCCTGCACACTTTTTTTGTAATATTTATTAATTTCGTAAACGTCTTTCCTGTCTTTTTCTTTTGTCTTTGCTAAATAAAAGTACTAATTTCTTTTTTTCCTGTTTTTAATCTTACTTACTCCAAATTTTTAAATGGCAGTGTATCATGATTTCCCAAAAAAAGAAAAGAAGCAGGTAAAACTGTTTTCAACATTGATAATAATAAGAAATTATTTCTGAAAGATCATGTCCCAGATTTAAGCAAAAAATCCCTTCACTACACAGGGAACATACGTATAATAGTATTTCATATATATTTGACAGTATGTCAAATAAACATATATATATATATATATATATATATATATATAAAACAAATGTTTATTTGACACATAATCTTGCATGCTACCAATGCCATGATGGTGGTTCAGTTCAACCTGTATAATGTAACATCTTTGTCCAGGTTTCTTTGGGCCGATGCTAAACAGTTTCATCCATATCCTCATGTATTCTTACTATGGTCTGTCAACCATCCCATCCATGCACAAATATCTGTGGTGGAAACGATACCTCACCCAGGGTCAGCTGGTCAGTGTGCAAACTCTCTATCCAACTACCCTCTGCTCTTACATTCCCATATCCCTTCACATTTCCATGCAGTCCTTATGAGACCTTCCGTCTGCCATCACAGAATAAATGAAATGCTTATACATTACACTGATATCGTCGTTAGTACTGCTCTTCTTCTACTTCACTTTCCTCGCTTTTTAAGCTATTGCCACCTAGTAATTAGGCATACTGATCGTATTACATAGATCATCAGACGACGCAAGTCATCCTGTTTGATTTCCTCAGTTTTTTAATTATACAACTCTACAGTTAATTTTAATTTAATGGAAGGGGTAGTTTTAGGGTAAGGTTTAGGGTTTGGGGGCAGGTTATCATCTATAATTACCGTGAGTCTGTTTTAATTTGATTGTATATTTTTGTTATATTCTACTAGCTGTTATTTCATACTTCATAAGATTCAAAAGCAATATAAGTTATAGACTTACAAACCTTTCATACATAAAACAATATAATTTACTTCAAATGATTGTGTTTGTCAATGAAGCTTGTTTCTTCACGGGAGGCGTAACATGTAGTAACTTGCAGGGCCATGGTTTGTAGTACTGCAGGATGCAGACGCTAGCCAAGTATTCTTGGCATACTTAATTATACTTTTAAGTACATAAACAGTAGACTGAAAGTATACTTTCTTATCTGTAGTTTAAAAATGGCATGGACTAATTAGTTTAAAAGTTAGTTTTACTAGCACACTTGAATAAGCTTTTTTTCTGCTCTGCTCTTTTGTTGTTGTTGTATTTCATGTGTTAGAAGATGATTGTCTAATGTTCTATTCTTTGTCTCAGGTTCAGTTTGTATTGACTATAACACACACAGTAAGCGCATGGGTCGTTCCTTGTGGCTACCCTCTGGGCTGTCTGCAATTTCAGACCTTCTACATGTGCACACTTGTCATCCTGTTTGTCAACTTCTACATGCAGGTGAGAACTTCTACAAATTTAGTCAACTCTTCAAAATTGGGTCAGATGATCTTTACCCCTTACTAAAAAAAGAAAAAAAATACCAGATGGATTTTTATTTTTTGACCTCTTCTTCAGGAAATATAAACTTGAGGACAATGCCACCAAATAGAAAACCAGTGGGTGACTCTGGCACACAAGGTCAACTATCCTTCAGAGTTCCAACTCTAATCCAACACACCTTAAAAATCAAGCCAAATTCTTCACAATAACTTGAAAGTTAAGTTACAGACAGGTGTGTTTGAATAGGGCTAGAGCTAAACTCTGCAGGACAGTGGCCCTCAAGAGTCACACGCTCAGAAAATAAATGACCAAAAAAATGTCACTGGGGCAGTGCCCTTGAGCTTGAGCAACTGACCACACCTCGGGCTTGATGTCACTTTGTTTAGCATAGTATACATTTACTATATAGACAACTGTCTAAAATTAACAAATTACACATCTTTTGAAAGTTCTAAGGGTGTAGTGTTCTACGGTGTCTGTTTTATGATATAGATGCTCCAGCAGCAGTAATATTGTAATTTGTGTCTGGAGTACAAATGACAACAGGTTTTCATACATTTGTTATGAAATAGCAATCATGAGATGAATCCAAACCGTTGCACTTGGGTAAAATGTCCATGACAAGCATCCATTGAAAAACATCCAACAGCACGTTTTGTCCACAAGTGTTACATCTGTGAAATATTGATATATTGACAATTGTTTACGTCAGATTTTGCCTGAATGATCTGCTCTCCATCATCGTTCTTCAAGAAATTATCCAATTTATGCCCTGTTTATGTTGTAAAACTGTATATGATCGTATACATTAGACTCTCACAAACAAATGAGCCCGGCTCCAAAGTTTATTTTTCAAAACAGGGTGGTAGCTTTACTTATATCTAAGCAGTGCCATCGGATTTTTTGACGTCTTGAGAGGCATATTCTCCAGCCATTGTCATTGTTATAAATCTTGATGGACAAAACTGTTCCAACAACGTGTGTTGTTTATCCTCCACATGTGCACATAGAGGCGTTATTGTGATTATGTACAGCTGTCTGGACTATTCAGTAGCCAGATCTCGTCTGACAGGTGCACCTGTCACATCACTGTTATTCTTCCACATCCCAGACCGCGCAGTTTTTCCCTTCGTTTAAAAACGTTTCATTACCTTCACAAGGACGTGATAGAGAAGAAGCGAGGAGAAGAATGACTCGGAGTGTCAGCGGCAGAATCATATCGATGATCATTCTGTATGGGCTGTATGCCATTAGCTAAATGTCTATGCAAGTAGTGAGACAATCGAATGTTTTTGGAGATTAAATCACGTCTTGTGGCTGAATTATTGGCCATCGTTAATAGTTTGTTACACCCTCCAAACAATTTCTTTTGGAGTCTGATTGCTGTCTGAATTGACCATTAATATAGCAATTGTTTACGTATAGCCTAGCGATGTAGCATGTGTTTATATGCATGGACATGACTGATTGTTCAGTCCCACTTTATATTAAGTGGCTTTAAGTAGCCTACTATGTACTTACATAAAAAAATAAGTACAATGGTACAAGTACAAGTATTGTGTTCATGTTGTATTGTAAAACACATTTGCTGCTATTGAGGTGTGATACTGGTAAGGTTAGGGACAGGTGTGGTTGTATGTGTCGGTTTAAGGGTTAAGGTGTAAGGGAAGGGTCAACAGTGTAATTATAAATGTAAATTCATAAATTAATTACAGCTGTAATTACAGCTGTAATTACATGCAGGTATTTTTAAAATATAAGTACAATGTGAAAACATGTATGTACACAATAAGTCCAAGTATAAAATTATTAATTTCAAATGTTAGTACATAGCAGTTAAAGCCACTTAATATAAAGTGGGACCATTCTCCCCCCCACTCTCTGCTTAGTGGTGCATGCTCATGCTTCCATTCTTATCAATTGTTAAGCAATAAATGTCTTTTCTCTGCAGACATACAAAAAAAGAAGGCTGGAGGGTGGCAGAATGGCTAATGTTGGAGAATTTAAAAACAATCATTTGAATGGCCTTTCATCCTCTCTCAATGGAGTCTACTCCAAACCGAAGCTTCAGTAATGCCCGTGACATGACAAATAGAATGGATCGTCTCAGTCCAGTTATGCTGAATAATATTAGCTTAATAGCAGCTAATCATCTGATAATCAAACTGTGATTTTTAAAATTTAGAATAGAACTTAACCATTTTGTATGTTTGTTTTACAAATGTTCCTCTCAAGTCTCATAACTGAGCGATGTAAATGCTGTACAATAATTGAGGGACAAATATTTGTCCAATTCAAAATAAATGCCTTTGTTATGGAGTACAGTATCTACTTTATCACACATCTTTGCTAGTTTATCTATGACTGCAAGGAAATGGTCTGCAATTTTCTCTAAATCTCTACACTATAAATGTATTGTTCAACGAAATATGCCATAGGCTACAATCCTTTATCTGATATGCTAAAATGACAGTTTAGTGTAATTGAATAAATGAAGGATCTTATATTATACAGTAGCACTAAGACACCTTTCAAAATCTTCATTATCAGACAGACAGGGATTGTTGTGTACAGATATCAAGTTTCATGATAAATGCTATATATTTTTTTTTTTTGACTGTGTTAAAGACCCCATGAAATTGTTTGACAAATGCAGTTTTGTATTTCCTATTGCAAAATGATGTTGAGGATATCAAAGGGTAAGTCCCCTTGTTTATACCGTGAATAACCTCTATATTAATGGCACAGCCATGAGCCATGTTCTGCTACATCTTGCTGATCTTGGCAGGTGCTACAAGCAACAGACACTCATGAGTGCAGGTTGAGTCATCAGTATTTTTTTGTCTATTTTACCAGAAGATAAAGATTTTACATTTTAACTGTGTATATCTGCTAAATGTTAATTGTCAAATTTCAAAGTGGATTAGCATGTATAGATGACCCAAAGACACAAACTTTTTGTCTTTGGTGCAAACCTGTATTCCCCCCCCCCAACCCCCAACCCCCAACCCCCAACCCCCAACCCCCAACCCCCTTTTTTGTATAAATAGAGCCCATATGAAAACTTAATGATTCTCTTCATACTAACACACTAAATAAAACACTTGAAGTATCAAATGCTGTGTGATGTTTAATATTATTTATTTAACTTAATACAATTCAATTGTTTTAATTAAGTAGACAATCCAGACAAAAAAGGCATATAAAAAAAAACCATTAGTCCTATGAGGGATCTGCAGTGGTGATCTCTGATAGGGCAACAGGGGATGATTGTCCTCGAGGAGAGGTTGGCTGGAGAAGATGAAAATTCAAATGACTTATGGTGTCGGAGTAGTAGTTAATTGCATGCTAATTTATTAATTGTACATGCTAATATTATAAATATATGGTAGATATTCTTGCCCTGTAAAAAGTCTATACATATTGCTGGCAAACAAAAGCTATAATACCACTTACCACAGTAATTTTGGCCTCTCTTCTCGCTGATTGACTTAACGAGGCTTCAGAACCCACATGAGGGATTAGGAGAGTATCCAACCTGTCACGGGGGGATCAGAAGGTCTTTTAAGATCTTGTATTGGGGGGTTTACAGACAAAAACAGCATGATCGTCGTGCCAAGCACACATAATAAACCAGGCGTATACTTTTCTACCTCTTCTGCTGTTCATCACAGAATGCCCGAACTGTGTCAGACTCTGACTGCCAGAAATTCTAAGACATGAAAAAGAGCATATGACAGAACAGCACTTTATCAACAGACTTCTGCTATTAAATATGCTTTGTTCAGGAGACTATAAACTGAGCAAAAAAGAAACATCCCTTTTTTAGGATACTGTATTTTAAAGAATTTTGTAAAATCCAAATAAGCTTTACAGATCTTTATTGGAAAGGGTTTGAACAATGTTTTTCATGCTTGTTCAATGAAACAAACATTACCTGCATATGCACCTGTGGAACAGTCCTCAAGACTAACCGTGTACAGGCAGTAGACAATTAGAAGTTGAAGAAAGATGCCTAGGGTCCCCGTTCACCTGCGTGAAAATGCCATAGTCCTGCTGCAGGGAGGCATGAGGATGGCAGATGTGGCCAGAGTAATAAACTGCAATGTCCGCAATGTAAGACGCCCAAGTCAGTGCTAAAGGGAGACCGGAAGGACAGCTGATCATCCTTGCTGTGCCTAACTGTCACAGTGTCTGTTGTGTTTCCACTGGGTGTCCACTAGATGTCCCTTCCTTCCTGTCTCCATTCATCCTGGAACCACATTTCCCATAATCCTTGTTTGTTCCCATCACTTGTGATTGCACCCAGCTGTTCCCATTTATGTTGTTAGTGTCTGTGCACAAATACCCTGTCTGTGTTAAGTTCACGTCACGGAATCATTATTGTATGTCACTCGTTTACGCTAAGGTCTGGTTTCAAGTCTGTTCTCGTTTTTGTTCTTGCTCGTTTTGTTTATTTGTTCTCTGACTGATTAAATGGTTTTCGACACTGGCATGGATGACTACGATTCTGATTATTTGGACTTTGACTCTTGCATGGATGACGATTATTTGGATTGCCCTGATTACCATGTTGTTGCGTTTGGATCCACCCATTTCTCCGCTAGCGATTGTGACACCTAACCATATGACATGTTCGAGAACTTGCAAGTCGAGGAGTGGTGGAACTCATTCCATTTCAGTTCGTCAATTGTCTGTAAAACTCGTTTAGTTTGTCTCGGTTGTTGAATCTTTTTATGTTCATACAAATATTTACAGGTCAAGAAATTTGCTGGGAAAAAAAAAAGTTGAAACTGGGAGGATGTTTCTTTTTTTGCTGAACTTATAAACATTTCAGTTTGCCTTTGAAGACAATCTACTTAATATGAAAATGTGCCCATTGTATTGAGAAACTGAGACAGACCACAGTCTCCTTCTCGATGGTTTTGAGAGACAGACAGTCCTTCTCCAAACATTCCAACTGCTGCACCACAGAGTCCTGGAACTGTTCCAGATGCACCAGCCTACAAGCAGAGCAGCATGGTTCATTTTCTGTACCTCAGCTATAATAACCATTTAGATTCAAATTGAGCAGTGTAGCAGATATTTTTAGACTATTTTAGATTATTATACATTTACATGGTTTATGGACAGAAAAGGACAAAGAACCTACTGAATTCGAATGCTGTTTTGTGCTCTGTACCTTTGATTGTGTACAGTTCCCAAGAGAGAGGTCACATTTCTCTGACAGTCCGTTAAAGATTGCAGTGATCTGGCTTCAATCTTCTTATACCTGCTCTGGATCACAAAGAAAATAATTTTCACTGCCGACTAAAGTCAGGGTAGTTCTCCCCAAATGTCTCTCATGCTGTACATGCATATACCTGTATGGCTTATTTCATTAAACACAAAATGCATTGACAAGCTCCAAATATAAAAAAAAAAAAAAAAAAAAAAAAAAGCATAAATGTTGAAATTAAGCCATAACATGACCTTTATGAACAGACCAAAGGTCACAGTGCATTGAACATACTTACCACACTGGTTATGACTTGATTAATCACATCATAAGTTGAATATGAAGTGAACTGAAGCTATTGGGTTCATATTGCACATTGGTCACTGACTTTGTCAAAGACATTCCTGGATCAACATATTTTGTTGATCCTGGAACAACATTCCTGTCCGGAAATTTAGTCTTAACCCTATCCCTACCCCTAAACCTAGCCCTACCCATAACTTCCCTAAAATCAGAGGGAAATGATCAGTGAATTACACTTATGAGAAGCGCCACCCTGATTGTAAGCCTAAACTTGACCTAAGCTGTAAATTTGTCCCTCAAATCTGATTGGTAGATTGTAATGTTGTTCCAGGATCAACAAAGATGTTGATCCAAGAATATGTTGTGAAATCGCATCGTATTGGCCTTCTCTTATATTTTTATATATATCTTTTTTTGTGTGGTTTTGGAAATTTGACTGCACCGATTCACTTCTACTGAATGAACAGCTGCTCACTGTTCATTCAGAGGGGTAAAAATAATGCTAACAAAGTAGTTGGAAGTAAAAAGACTGGAGTTTTTGTACTTACAGAAAAGTGTGCTCTCAACTGAGTCTTAAAGCCATTAAATGCAGCTCTGACACCTGCACCCAACTCTTCCTCTGATTCATCTTCCATCAACACTTCAGTTATTCGCTCTAACACACACACAAAATAGTGTACATTTGGCATTCAGGTCACTCTCTTTGTTTGGCAGTGAGCAGCAGCACACAATGGCTGCTTTTTTCATCCTTTCAAACAGAAAAACCAGAGCCAACACTGGAGTGTAAATAAGCCAAAAAAAAACAACTAGCCACAGTATCAAAATATTTACAGATTATAAGTTAGCCATCACTAGTGATTGGAATAAACCCTGAACGCTTTAGGTTGCATTATTTTGATATAGTTAGTAGAATGGCTACTGCAACTACATGTCAACTTTCAATACAGTATTAGCAAAGTTGCTTATAGTCAGTACAATGTCTGTTAGGACTGACATCAGAAAAAAGTGTTAGCTGATTTTAAGCAAACAGTCTAATGCTCTAATGACTGGTAGTTGACATGCATTAAAAAAAGTGAACTATCAAAATAAATTGTTACCAACTTTTACAGTATGTGCATCTCATCCTGCACTGTATGTGCGACATTCCTGTAGCTCTTGGGCTAACAATGTCAATGTCATGGGTTTGAACCCCAGGGGAATGCATGCCCTGATCAAATGTATACCATGAATGCAGTGTAAGTTGATTTGGATAAATGTCTGCCAAATTCTCAAGGGTCAAGCTCAAGGGTCAAGATATGCATAATGTGGGTTCAGCATAAACCTTGTACTGTTTTTCTGTAAGACGCTCAAGACTGAAATAATTTACCTGCAGCATCCTCTAGTGGGCTAGACAGGAAAAGTCTTCTAGGTTGGAATGTTGGTTGTCTGGGCAGCTGCTTGTCCCCTTTCACATACAGCTCTGTGTGGCACATGGTTTCATCTATTACCACCAAAATTGTTACCAAATACTTCAGAAATTTTAGGGATCTTATTTTTTTATGTGTCAAAGTGTGTCTGAGTGTGGGGGTTAGGTACTCACCTGATGATTCAAGTGCTTCTGTTCTTGGGGGAAGTGGTGTTTCTTTATCCAAACAGTGCTCCTAAATCAGTATTTATATAGTCAATTAAAGATAAATCTGCATTAAAAGCTCAACATACTGAAATCAAGTTGTACCTCTTCAATAAGACTAAGTTCCTCTTCTTGTAAACTGGTTTCAGAAACAGTCTTGTTTTGAAAACCTTGAAAAGAAACCACAATGTCAGGACATTTAGATCAGAATAAGCTATCTTCTGATGCAATCATACTGACCTGAATCAGCAGTGGTCTTTTTCAGTAATGAAAATTCTTTGTTCAGTGATCTCCCTAGAGACTGCCAGTCTTTACTTGCCACTTGTCTTTGTTTGGGTGTTGAATACTATAAAGAAAGAAAGAAAAACAAAAAAAATAAAAGATCTACATTTTTATGCCTTGCATAATTGTGGCTATTTTGTTTATACCGCAAATCTTCTGAAAAATTACATTCTACCTTGAAGAACTCCTCCTCATTACTGCTGGGTGAGGAAAGAGGAAGAACTATGCAAGAGTAAAAAAAAAAAAAAAAAAAAATTAGGTTGCAGCATATCTGAAGGATTTATAATGTGATGTAGGGGAGAGCGGGGCACGGGGCTAGTAACACCCTTGTTTTAAATACTTCCACACATGCTAGCATGATGAAACTTGGTGTATTTAGTTGCCATATCTAGATATATATATAACATTCTCTCTCTTCAAATTTCTCTATATGGTATTCTCTCTCTCTCATATATATATATATATATATAGAGAGAGAGAGAGAGAGAGAATACCATATAGAGAAAATTTGGAGAGAGAATTTATATATATATATATATATATATAATTGTCTCTCTCTTCAAATTTCTCTATATGGTATTCTCTCTCTCTCTCTCTCTCTCTCTCTCATATATATATATATATATATATATATATATATATATGAGAGAGAATACCATTTAGAGAAAAAAATTGAAGAGAGAGAATTATATATATATGAAAATCACTGAACATTTATTTAACCATAGCAAAAGTAAATTTCTTGTGTTAATTTTTCATTTCTATTTTTGGTGTTGTATTTTAAATTAGACAAATCTGATATTATTTTAATCTCCAATATGTTATTTAACAGTTGATATGGTTCTTTAATGCTTCGTTAACTAGCAGAAGACACTAGCAGGGTTTAAATCCCAGTTGCGCAGGTGGGGCATGTTGTAACACTGCGTTACAATGTGTCCCTATTAGAACTATGCTATTCTATTCAATACTTTTATGAATTCTATTGAGAAAACATGAGAAAAAGGTGAATAAAGAGAGTCAATGTTCAGAAATTATTAATAATTATGTTTTGAACTATGTTGTATAGCTGTGTTTTCCGGTGTGTTCATTGTCAAACTCCAAAATTATTTTATTTTTAATTATTAAAAAAAAGCCATTTTATATGAAAAAGTTAATTGTATTTTATTGAGAAAATATCTTAGTTTGCTTGTATATTTTTTGATTAGATCAGATAGAATTTCAAGCTGTCATATGGTCATGCTACAATGTACCCCTCACATGTTACAATGTACAGTACAATGTCTATGGGGCATGTTGTCACATTTCACTTCCATTCTTTCGGGGTATATCAAGAAAAAAAAAAAGAAGTATACACTTAATAAAACAAAACCACATAATTGTACTAGACATGTGTGAAATTCATGAGGTGAAAAATAAATACTCTGAAGCCCAAGTAGATTTACACAAACTGAGAAAGTCAAAAAGCGTTAGGTTGTGCCCCGCTCTCCCCTAGTCCTGCGGGATGAGGAATGATACCTCTGAGTTTCCCCTTAGGTCTGGGCTTTCTCCTGCTGTAGTCAGCATGTGGAGTGTCCTTGCGGAGAAACCCTTCATCTGAATGCATCACCCTTATTTTCTTCTGCAATCAACCATTTTACATTTAATCCAGAGATTTTGTAGACACTTTTGTCCAAAGCTGCTTCCAACAGAGGGACATAAATGTGTCACAGAGCCAACAATATATTTAGTTTACAATGTCAGGTTTATTAGAAAGCTAGATTAGGCAAACTAGGACATTCTTAAATGCACCAATGTCTAACATGCATAAAATTACCAATTTACAAAAATAATGGTGCCTTTACACATTCTGGCTAACCTTCACAGGAGTTCTACCCAGAGTGTCAGGCAGGGACTTTGTAGACCTGATGAAAAAAGCAGCATGTTTTAGTGAGACTATGGCAAGTGTCCAACAGTACATTTTACAGAGTAACACTGCAGCACTTCATCTGTATATGGTCTGATGATGCTCGTCTAATATTGAAATCAGCAGAGATGTGACTTACCCATTAGAAGATGTTGTCTGAGAGAACAATACAGTCTTGGCACGTTCAACCTAAACAGAAAGGCCAAAATATCAACTATTCTTAAATTCTACAATTTAGAAAATTAATAGTAAATATTTTAATTTTCAACAGTCATTTGAATGGCAATTCATAGACATTAAGGCACTGGCCAGATCAAGATAAACAATAAAATGAACAAACTGACCCAGAAGCCCAAGATTTGGTCAAGAAATTAATATTAAAAGTCAAAAACTGGACAGTGGGATCTGATATGTGTGACTGCACTCCACTGACCTGGTACCTCCATAAAGCAGTCATGAACGTTATAGTCTTTGGCTTCTTGTCATGTGACTTCCCTGATCGTTCTGTGTCAAAAGTGTCACTCAGACATTGAGACACCTCAAGGATCACCTGGGGCAGTCATATACACACCTACTCATATGCCAGAAAACTACATCCATTCTTCATCACGTGGCCCTTTGACATTATTCCGGTCATTTTTATTGTCAGTTAGCATCCAAAACATACTTGAAGCTGTTCAGTGCAAAAATTACAGTTCTTGTTCTTCAGCTAATCAAAGAGCACATTGTTTATAAATAAAACATTTTTACCAAAGGATCAAATTATTGATCCCATAGCGTCACACAATTCCATAGCGGACTTCTCAGGAGGAGAAAGTCTTGGCGCTCACTGGACACTCTGGGACATCCTGATGCCTTCACTGCAATTGAACCTCTCTCCTTGAAGTTCTTGATTCGATAAATAGTTTGTTTAGGTGCAATATTCTTTGCAGCAAATTCCTTGCATGTGAGGCCATTTTGATGATGCTGCACACATTTCTTTAGAGGTAACCATTGCTAACACAAGAACACATTTTATAGCAATTGGTTTGCTCTTATAATCCAATCAGAATCGGAGTGATTTCACCTGACTAATACTTGTTCACACTTTTCCCATGTGCTGATGATATGATTAGAGAAAAGATGATAACTGGTAATGACCAGTTATCTTTTCTGAATAATGAAATGAAAGAAAACTTACTGCATTTTTAAATTTGTAATAAAAAAAAATTGTTTAGGATGTTTATTTAGCGATGTCCCCATAATGTAAATGGCGTGGCCTGAAACCTGAATACACCACAATACAAGACTTTGGGTCCTCATAATGCAGGTCAAACCAGAATACACACACACACACACACATATATATACCTCTGTATCTGAATGATCCTTAAAGTGAAAGATGTCTTGGCCTGGGGTTCCTTTGACTCTTCACTCACCAAAGAAAGAAAAGTATAAAACCACTGTTCTCTCCATCAGAGGGTGCATTTTTCCAGGAATAAACAGGCTTACTTTGATATTGAATATCTGCTTGGTCCACTCAAACGAAGGGAAAGCTATAAAAAATAAATAAAAAAAAAAGTTGGTGAAACTGGATGCCCATACAACCATTCACAAATGTGATTACCTTCATTTTAGCTGTCAGAATTACATAGTTACCTGATGGATGCCTTTAGTTTCTCCAGCTGGTGGACTAGGGAAGAAAAATATCTTCATGAGACAAACTTACTCTGAAATCAGATACTAATTTGTCTAATGAAAAATCAATTGCAGAAATCAAGATGCCTTCTGCTCTCTCAATGCAAACACGGGGCTTTACATAAATAGTTAGAAAAACATGCCTGGAAAATTTTTGCAGCTTCACTGTTTGTTCATGCTGGGGTCCTGTACAGGATGACATTTCATATTTATACATCTGGAACAATGTGAATTCTTTAACAATGCATATCTGTTGAGAGTGTGAGATGCGTTGTGCCTTCTATCGTGGTCACGGCATCCCCTGATTGCAGAGCGTCCTAAAAAATAAACATACATTTATAACAACTGCCTGTGTGAAACATTTACACATTTGACTATGATTCTTTGAAAACAGTACTGTATAATATGCCAATACCTTTGAGGCTGAGGCAGGCTGTGGCTTCTCTGCAAACACTCTTGTCAGGGCTGTTTGGATGTTGTGCTCTAAACTAAAGATGATTTTGACCATTTTGCCAGTGATCTCTCCATGAGAGATTGGGGTGCTCATGTGAACAGCCACTATCTTCTGATCATCACACTCTAAAGCAGTAAGTGAGAAAAAGTAATTTTAAGAAATAGGATTAATGATCTGAGCCCCAAATATTTGTGGGATTTAAAAGCAATTCCAACCACATTAGTCTACTTCAGGTTTGCGTTTGGTTAATAAAGAAAGCCATGATAATTTCATGAATATAAGAAAAGCTTGTGGTTATTAAACCCACCTTGAAGTTCATACATGCTGACAACATCTTTAGGCAAGTGAATTAGCTCCCACAGTGTGTTCTACCACAAATGAAAGCTCAGTTTAGTTGCACTCCTGATTTATTAAAAACCTTTTTGCACTAAAGCATATTTTGGACACACCTGTGGGTCATTTACAAAGAAACTAATAGTGGATGTGCCAATGTTGAAATCCACCCAAAACTCTTTCAGAAACTCATCTTCAGGCTTGAACAGCTAAAAAAAAAAAAAAAAGAAGCTCATTCAAATACTGGGTGGTGGGAGAAAATGTGAGATATATGTAACTTCTGAACAAAAAAAGGGAAACAATTCATGCTTACTTCAGCTGAATCAAGAAATGCCTGAATACAAGGGAATGAGAAGACTCTAAGACAGAGCAACAGGATCATGAAAACATGTCAAAACTTTACGGATACAGGTGACTGGATAAAGCCAACACAATAATTAATAATAAATAAAAAAAACCTTTCAAATATACCTTCTTGAGTTCCCAAAATAACTATTGAGTTCATTCAGAAAAGTCCTACAGTCCTTTAAATAAAAGACAAAGGAAGAACATCGATACCTGCAACACTGTGCTTAGTGATTCTAGTAGAGCAGTAAAAAAAATAAGTGCCTAAACGTACAGTTTCAAAATCTTTGTCACGAATTGAAGTAAAAGCTGAAGCAAAGCTTCTGAAACTGAACCATTTGCCAGCAAAGTCTTCTCTTAGTTTCCTTGGTGTCATCCTGCAGAGTGCTTCAGAGATGGCCACCTGCATTTCATAATCTGGTGACAACAATAGATAATGCAATGTGAACATTGATGTACAAGTGCTCAAATTCCATTTTTTTTTAACCAAATTGATGACTTACCACCAATGTCTGTCAGCGCTTTTGCCAAGTCTTCTCTGTAAGTGATGACAAGGCAAGTGTTTGCAAAGAAATTAGCTCATTTTTTGTGTTGTAGTGTAGAGCAATTTGTTGTCCACTAGAGTGCAGCCTTTCCACGTGCACATATGAGTTACATGAGCGCTCCAACGTCATTTTATTTTAAAATTATGCTATGTAGAGCTTAGAACAATAACTAGAACTATTTGTATCCTAGACCTAGAGACTGTCGCGAGTGCTCTCAATTTGCTTGTAATTGGATGGGAGCGTGGCTCGTTTGAAGTTTAGGTGAGTGTGTAACAACAAGTCTCTATTTAATGGCAATGCGTGCTGGTTGACGACTTACAAGAGCCCAGTATGGTCATCTGACTGGCAGAGTTTCTTCCTTATGTCTTTGGGACTGCTGTCCAACATAGAGTTGATGGTTCTGATGGCCTGAGTAAAAATAAATGTCAAATTATTTTACAGTAGGCTATAAATGTTTTAGCCAGTCATTATTTGCAATAGCTTCATGATAATTACCTCTAGACGCAGACAGAAAGGCACTTCATAATCCAAAACTACAGCTCCAAACCGCAGAAGAAATATATCCAGGATCTTACTGCTGCCTTCCAACAACACCGAATTAATTTAATAGCATTATTATTACAGTTAACACAACAACAAACCATAATAGGCTATTAAATATTTGAATGGGTCACCTGCAATGGTGATCTGACACAGACTCTGTAAAAAAAAAAAAAAAAAAAAAAAAAAAGTCTTTAAAATGGAGTTTTTTAGCCTGCATGATTTAAAATATATTAAATACATATATTAAATAAAATAACAAGGAGTTAGAGACAGAAAATGCATTACCATTGCAACCTCGTATAAAACTTCTATGAGTTTCATGGCGTCCCTGGGTGGTTTGTGCTGTTCTTTAATATACTCTGACGCCATCTCAAACCAATTCAACATGTAAAAAAGCGAGCAGATGATAAATTATCATGGCCTACTGACCAGTAATTTAGAGGTTTAATGTTAATCTGAATTAAATAAATGCTTATCTTCACAACCAAGCCGTGATGAACAAGTTTCTGGATGCTGTCCTTATCCTTACTGAACAGATGTTCAATTGCTTGTAATAACAATGAAACATTCTTATGTTCGTTTTTATGCAGCTCCTAAAGAAGAGTAATAATAATTTACATCGGTAAGAAATGTCCACGTTTGCAGTGGAGAATCTTACAAAAGAGCAAACCAGATTAGAAAACTCAGAAAAAGCTCATTCAAAACCTACCTTGATAACAACTTCGTCCAGTCGATCGATCAAGGATACGGACGATTTTTCTTCAATGAGTATCATAATAGCCATGCTAATGTTATTTTGGACAAAGGCATCATGGAATCTACTCGTAAACTGTACAATTCAGAGAAGCACTGGATGAATGTATGAAATAACTACAAAAAACAACAATAACTCAATAATTGGTTGTGCTTCAAATAAAAGTAAAATTAGAGGAGTGCATATATGCTATTAATAATAGGCTTACATAATCAATCGTGATTTTATTAGTATGTGCTGCTCTGAAGAGGATATAGCTTATCTTTTAAAGATAATCATGAGACTCACACTCATCATGATGCACACAGGCAGGCAGGCGAGCTCCTCGGACTGGGGTGCCCAATCCTGCTCCTGCCGATCGACTGTCCTGCACAGTTCATCTCCAATCCTAATCAAACACACCTGAAGCAACCAATTAAGGTCTTCAGGATCACTTGAAAATTAAAGGCAGGTGTGTTTGATTAGGGTTGGAGATGAACTGTGCAGGGGTGCGTTTCCCGAAAGCATCGTTAGCCAACTATGGTCGCAAGTTGGTCGCAAATCCCACGGAACTTGCGACCATAGTTGGCTAACGATGCTTTCGGGAAACGCACCCCTGGACAGTCGATCGGCAGGAGCAGGATTGGGCACCCCAAACACACGTGGCTCATAGGCTCTATGGGTGATTTATAAACTCAGCAGGCGTGAACTCTCAGTTACCAACTATTTATTTATGACAGTAAGCTATTAATTTTTACTGAAACACTCTACAGACAATGTTTGTGCATTAAAACATTGCATTAAAACATTGGAGCGTGGGAGCTGGGGGCAGTCTTTCCGACATGTCTAAAGGTTTGCCTTATGAATATTAAGTAGCACGTTGCTGGATCTGTGAAAACGTAATTATACATGTCGTTTTTACACAACGTTTGCATAATCACTAATAACTTGTAATTTACCTGTCAGCGTAATTTTAAACGTTAGATATTTAAATATTTTGTGCCAACCTGCAGAACTACACAAGTAAACTTTTGCATGTAGGCCTATTCGACTATTGAGAGTATAACATTGAATTTTGAATAATTTGTGACAGACAGCGCGGGGCGCTTCACTAACCACTGCTTGCATTTCTCTGTATGCATTAGGACACTGACAGTTTATTTATTTATTTATAATTGTATCATTAACAGCTCTGATTTGACTTAAACGAATGAAAAAAGTAAAAGGTTTTTTTTCTTTTGTTTCTTTTTTTACATACAGTGATATGATTTATTTAGGTCTAATATTAACGAATATTAGTTTTAGTGAGTTGTAGCTGACCACAACTTTACAGAAAATCATAAGCCAACTGCACGGTAACAATATTCATTTGCCAAGTCTTCACCAATGGATCCGTGAATTCCCGTCATGTGCACTTTGTATATGGACTTGTAGGCAATATATAGGCTATAACGCCGACTTGGCATCGAGTTATATCATAACATGAAATAAAGATAAAATTATGAAGCCTAAGGGTAAAATGTAACTTGTTAAAGAATTTCCAATGTTGATTTACTATACTATTTCTCTTCATATGAAAATATATGACACACACAAACACACGCACACGTTTTTACGTTTTATGGGGACTTTCCATATACATAATTATATTTGTACTGTACAAATTGTTCTACAGCCATATATTACTAACCGTAACCCTAAACACAACTCTCACAGAAAGCATTCTGCATTTTTATATTTAATAGATTGATTGATGGATGGATGGGTGGATGGATGGATGGATAGATAGATAGATAGATAGATAGATAGATAGATAGATAGATAGATAGATAGATAGATAGATAGATAGATAGATAGATAGATGATATAAGCTGTTTTAAATGTATTTATTTATTTTGCAGCCAGTGAGGACAAAATAATCAATAAAACAGCAATGCTATGATAAGCGTATGTTGCGCTGTTCTCCTACGAATGACAAAATAGTAATGCAAGACAGAATGAACAAAACAATAATAAAAGAATAAGAAAAATATAGGCTGCAATAGTTTTATAGAGATGTTTATATATATTATATTATTATACCTGCAATCACGAATGCGTAATGGGTACTTGCACGTGAGTGATGAGTTTCCCTTTCCCGTTAATATTTTGGCGAATTTGAATTTAATGTAAAACAGGCATGCCTCATTATTATTATGCATGAATTAATGACTATTATAATTACCTTAAGAAAAGCTAGACTGTGTTGGAATTAGTACAATTTGCAATAGCCCATAACTTTATTCTCTACAAAATGACGATTTCAACTGAAAAATAACATATATTGCCGGTCGTCTTTAATGTTATTAATTTATACACACTTGCACTGTTAATAAATGCTAGGCTATTTCAAAAGCACAACTATTAGGCTAAATAAGGACGGTTAGCCTACATTTGGCCCATGGAGTGGAAAAGGTTTAACTAAAATAAATACAGCCAATGGTTTCTTTCGCCCTATGCCATTATTAGCCGTCAGATGTGTTTTAGCAGAAGACTCGCTTGCTATTCAAGATGCGAGTTCAATGTGATAATATTTTACAGTTCAGTTATATATTTTGGAATATTTAAAAAGAGATTATTGATGTGCCTAGAGGAGTGACACTAGTAGATTAGGCTACTTAATTACAAGAATCATGTAATTGATTAACTAGGCTACTTTTATTATTATTCATATTACTATTATTATTATTATTATTATTATTATTTACTAACAGAAAAAAAGCAGCTGCATTCATTTAAAGTTCTTGTCCCGAGTTATGTATCACTTGAAAATCACTTATATTTCAATGACATCAGTAATCGCCAATGGATACATAGAAAAGGTGCGTGTTTATGAGCTGCGTTGTGTTTGTTGTGTTAACGACCGGTCCGTGTTGTGTCAGCAGTGCGGCTTTTCGTTTACACACAACAGCTAATGACCTGCAGTAGATCACATTACCTCACCAACTGGACCAGTCCTGTTCTGTGACCATCAGCCTCGGATCAGTCCCAGTGAACGTCGCTTGCATAAAGTTCGCTGACTACGCGTGAAATACCACACCGTCGGGTTCACGTTTAAAAGAGGCTGTCATTTTCCCCTTTAAACTGTAAACGCAGAGATAAAATCTGGGATGTGTAAGGAAAATTTATTTAACACAAGCTGTGCTATTTCTCCCCTGTAGTCAAATATTGAGCTTTCGTTGGTCTTGTTGCGAAATGACTCGTTAGTGGAGGTGAAACGCACGGATCATGTAAAGTGAAAGCACGCAGTATTTGAGGTAGTGAGTGTGTGTGTTTCTCTGTGTGTAAGCCCAGCCTCCTTCTTTACATAGACACAGCAGCATTTACCTGAGACCATTACCTATAGGTGAAGTGCACCTGGACGGACTCACATAAACGTGGATTTTACAGGAGAAAATAAAGACGCTTTCTGGAAGTAAAGGTCTAAAGGACGTGATGTATGATCCATTTTGTAAACTGATCTAAACTCCGAGCTGAATTTTGTCTTGAAGCTGGTTTTTGATCCTTATGGTTGATATGATCCGGAGTTGACTCACATCATGTCCAAATCCTCAGATCAGTTTGACAGCTCAGATTGCGTGTGTTCATTCGGGATGAAGTTGACTTGGGACATAAACGACCCCAAGCTTCCACAGGTAATTATTTTTTTTTTATTTTTTTAAACATTTTATGCATTTGTAGGCAGGGCGGAACTTTACCATTTCTTTTGGAATAGCCTACATTTTCTTTATTTATTTATTTTTATCTCAAAGTTTAAGTACAAAAGGAATAGCCTAGTTTCTGTGTCGGTCCAATAGGCCTACTCGGAAATACATTAAATGCCCTCTCGCTAACTAAATATGAATAGGCCTTTGTTAATAATGATTTATTGTTATTTTTCCAGGACACGAAGCAGTATGATGCGTTCCAGGAGTGGACTGATGGATATGTGCGTTATATCTACAGCAGTGAAGATAAGAATGCGCAAAGACACCTGAGCGGATGGGCCATGAGGAACACTAACAATCATAACTGTCAGATCCTGAAGAAGTCCTGTCTTGGTGTGGTGGTGTGTTCACGAAACTGCTCTCTCCCAGACGGGTCCAAACTTCAGCTGAGACCGGCCATATGTGACAAAGCACGGCAGAAACAGCAGAGTATGTTCATGAACTTTTGTTTCCCACAAACAAGCAGCATCTACCAAACGAGTTAATCGTGTCAGGAACGAATCTGATAAGAAAGAACAGACAAAACAGGCTTGTTGTAGCGCGTAGTTTGAAATACCTTTGAAATATCTGAACTGCAATTTATCGCATTCTTATCAAGAATCTTTTTTTTTCTTCAATTTTTTTCTGTCTTTTTTTTTCTAGGTTTTTGGTATATGGTTTTATGGAAACAGACTAACAACTGTAATTCAAAAAATATTATCTTATGGCATTAGGCTGTGAACTTTTTTAGGAACATTTATTTAGTAGTGTAGCCTTTAGCGCAGTGACCTCTGTTAATAGATCTTACTTGCACTTCATTAGACTCACATTTCATGCTGATTTACCCTGTTCTGATAGTTTAAGAGCCTGACCCTCTCACTCATCACCTTGACTCTTTGGCTGAGTCAAAGAACCTCTTGTTTACGCTGACTTATGAATCATGTCCAATAGATAAAGCTAAACATGAGAATTTCTTCAAAATAGCTCATTAAAATGGGTTGTTGGTCTTTTTGTAAAAGTCTCAGTAAAACTATGTATTCGTAATGTACCTTTGCAGAAAAGCTTTGTCTGAACTGTAACTCAGCTCTCGAGTTGATTCCGTGCCGAGGTCACAGTGGCTATCCAGTAACAAATTTTTGGAGAGTAGATGGGAAAGCCATTTTTTTCCAGGTGAGTTTGACTGTGAAGACATTTATTATTGTTATTATTATTATTATTATTGCTATTGTTATTATAGTTTAGATATTGGTTTGGTGTATTTCGGAAAAAATATGCCAGTGATAACTTTAAATGCTTAAAAGAGACAATACATTTTTTTTAAACAAAATGATTGTTAAATTTGCAAATGAAATTGTAGAAATGACATCCAATTTACGTAACTAAAAAGTCATAATATGTGTATATGACTGAATAAACTTGAAAATTTATAGTATACCAACAAAAGTTTTTGAAGAATCAAATCAGGTAGAAATAAGGTATAAGTCATTGTACTGACTCATTTTACTGTTTACAAATTATTATAAATACTTTCAAATGACAATCATCAGCTTTAATTAAATTGATTGATGTCACTGTTCAACATAATTGTGTATT